ACATACACACACACACGCGCACATATATATATTAAAATCAATAGTCAAACAGACTATTTATTTATTGATTTTACCCAAGAGTCATATTTTTACTTACATAGCTGATATATATATGTGTGTGTGTGTGTGTGTGTGTGTGTACACACACACACACACACACACACATATATATATATATATAACTATACGTACATATATTAAGAACAATGCTAAAAATAAAGGAATGATTCCTGGGTGTATACATATTAAACAATAAAAACGTGATCACCAGGAAAGTATAAAACAATAAAAGTTTTAATAAAAAGAGACCGAGCTTTCGTTGGCTCCTGCCAACATCATCAGGGTATATACAGGTCAATGGGAGAAACCATTTATAAATAAGCCAGCGTTTGCGCTCGACTTCTAGACCTCGTGACGGGTCCTGGTCGGCCAATCATTGTCCCCGTTGTAATCCCTATAAAACTAGGTAGTTTATCCTTGCTGCCATTATCCACATGTGTATTAACACTCCCCCATTTTTCTGTGCCCGTAAATCAGGAGGGTGCTTATGCTGGACTGGACTGTGCCCGTAAATCAGGAGGGCACTTATGCTGGACTGGAGAAGGACTGTGTGAAAAATATATCCTCCCCAAATCTTCAAATACTTCTAAAATATAAGTTTAGTTTACTTTTTCTAAAACTAAAAAGTTAATTTAATTAGTTAATATTGCAACTGTTTCAGCAAGCAATAGCACATTATGTTTTAAGTTTTGGTACACTGTAATACTTCCCTTCTAAAAGCAATAAACCTGTATCTTAACTTAGCCTTTATGACATATCCAGATGATTGTTTTCAACATTATTTTAACGGATAAAATTTTCATTTGATTTACATTTATTAACATCAATCGACAGACATATAGTCAAAACGTATAACACACGCAAAATATTTTGAAATAACTTTAAAAATACTTAACTCAAGTTTCTCTTTTTAAAGGTTCTTTTTAAAAAGTTACCTTTATCTTAGTATCTATTACTGCATTAATACATATCAGGAGGGAAGGAAGAATATCCAAGACCTAATATCAATGTCCCCAATGAATACAATACAGCTGCAAATTGTGTACGCTTAAAAAGATTCTCCCAAGATGATACGCATAATATAAAGTATTACCACTCCTCAAAGATAATTCACCTTCTAGGTATAAGCTTCATGTAAGTTGCAAACACAGAAGGCATGTGAATTGAATATAATGCCAAGGAAGAAAATGTGGGTGTTTCACTGAGATATATATACATTTTTACTATCTTCTTATAATCAACTTTTCTATTACTCTAAATTAGCAGTCACCTGATCTGTTTCCCCCCCCCCTTTTTTTTTTCTACAGACATGACACAGACATTTCAGCCCCCATGTAGGCCAGATTTCCTTCATGTGGCTTTTTAGGTAAAACTGTTAGCCTATTAATTAAGAGAATAATGGAGGTTAGCATGAAAACAATATAAATACTATCTAGGAAACAGCAGCAATGCCTTAGCCTTTGCACTGGCCTTGGATGCCGACTCATGCAGCTACTTACAAAAATAAGTGATATTTTACAATCTGGAAATCCAAGAGCATGCAAACTAAGCAAACCGGGATAAACTGTATCTTTTTGCTGAAAACAAAATATATCTCTATTTGATTGCTAAATGGAAGCAGTATTTTTAATCAACGTGTTAAAGCAGAATTAGTTATGTAACTTTACTGAAATAAGAAACATGGTACAATTCCATGACATATAAATAAAACTTAGAAACATTGTGTGTTATGTGTGTTATGTGGTGTCATAATTATTTTAAGGACACATAATATATCCCAAGATGCATTAGGCAGCCTAAAATAAAAGCATGTATTTCTTTATAGCTCCAGAACAGCAAACACCAGGAGGATTAAATTATTTAGAAAAGAAATGCACACCAAAATAGTTCATTTCAATAAAAAAGAGGAACTTTTAAAATGTGCTGCTATAGAATAAAAAAGTTATCTATTAGAGGACGGATTTCTTTTATCTGAAGTTCTACTGCAGCAAATAAATACAACAGCTTTCATTCAGTGATTGTCAAAAAACTTTCCAATGTGCCCACTGCAATGCAGATGCCAACCAACGAATCAAAGGCATTCAGAAACTAGACAAAGAGGGTTTGATGCCAACCTCGGTGCCACTGGCAACCATTATTGGCATCAAGCACATTGTCTGCTTTTCCTCCCCCACTCTGCTGGCACTTGACAAACAAAATGGCGGTTCTTGTAGAAACGGAATACAGCATAAGAGCTGTACTGATTGAATCAAATATTACCAACTGATTTTATAGACTGAAACACAGCCTGTTCTAAATGAAAGAAACTAATAAATATATCCTTTTTTAGTTAATCAAGATACTATAATCCTAATTCTTAATTTTGAAATTAACTAGAATATGTTAACATTTAAATAAATATTATTAAAACGGGCTTCTTGCTTCATCTGAACACCTGTAGACCACAAATTATTTTAAGACTATTTTCTGCCCCCAGCTAGCAAGAGGAATCAACATCAATCAAATAAGAATTTAATTCTCTTGTGTTTTGAAACTTTAAGGTAGGAATTCTGAAAAAAAAAAAGATGGCAAAAAGAGAGGGCAGTTTTTTAAGAAAAAGAATTATATACTGTGAATATCATAACTTGGTAGACTGGTCTATATTTCTTTCTTCAATGCAGATTTGGAAAAACTGAAAAATACTCTCCAGCAAATCATAAAAATGACTTATATTTCTACATCAAGAAATTCTCAATATATTGTAGCATTACTCTGCTCTGCAATGCGGATACCAACCAACAAATCACAGGCATTCTAGTCTAAACAAAGAAGGTCCAATGCCAACCTTGGTGCCACTGGCAACCATTTTTGGCTCTCAAACTATTCTTCATGTTTTTGCCAATGTTTCAATATAGCTCTATTTTATTCTTTCATTCATTCAAGAATTTTATCCTTTTTCAACTCTCTGACCATGAATTTTCTTATCATTCCACCCGCTGATAAAACATTACCAAGTAGATGTTTATATACTTCGGTAGAAAACCAACTCTCTTTGAAATATTTTTAGTTTGATATACCCTCATGTGTATACAGTTTGGAAATGTAACCAGCATTCATTCCCTACCTGCCAAAGGATTTTAGAGGAAGCTAATTTAAACCTAGAATCTTTTTCTATACAAAACAAAAAAGGCTGAAAGTATATTTCTACTACAAAAACCATAACTCTAAACAGCATTTAGCAGATTATTATCTGAATGTATATCACTTGTGATAGTGTCCTTCTGCAGGTGACCTAATATAGAGATACCAATTTTTCATCCACAATTGTCACTAATTGAAAAAATATTGGAAAAGTCCAATCATAATAGAAAACATTAACAGAAGTTATTTTGACAATTCAAACACAATCCATGGTATCATCGGATATCATCAGTGTTTTACACGAATCCTTCTCTCAATGCAAGCAAACACAGCATCTGAAGAAATACATATATACAGATATAAAAATGCTATATCAGTTTTATTTTCAGATACAGGTGACTTTCTAATGGAGATAATATGCAACCAAGTGAAATATTCCCTCATAAAGTCACTGACTATGTATAGTTTCACATATAGTTTAATATAACCCATGTTAACAATATTTAACACTTGCTTCAGTTACGAAACGTTTTTTAAATATTCTTTGAGATAAAGGAAATATATAGTTTATATAATCAGAATGAAATTTTCATTATCAATTATTTTTCTTTCAAGATTAATTTGCAGGGTGTTTAAATTCATATAATCCTAAATGAAGGTCTCCTTCAATCCCATTCAAGGATTGCAGATTTAGATTATAAGAGTTTTCAAATGCATATCACAGCAAAGCTTAGAAAGTTAGTCATGCTAAACTCACATTGAAACGTAAATAGTATTCACTTGCTCTAAACTGGAATCCAGTCTACATTTTATTACTGCTCTCATTGTTGAAAAAGAAAACTATCTTTCTTTTATGGTAAATGTTTGTTTTTCATAGTAAAGCTACCATACAGTATATAAAGTTAGAAGTCAGCAATGACAATATTGGACTGAATTATACAAAATCAACACTAAGAATACCAAGAAAAAGCAAAGTCTTTTGGTAGCATCACGAGAAACATGAAAAATGATTTTACGTTTTATATTTGTATTAACATTCCCCATCCATTTTTCTTTTGGCAGTTTCCAGGACCAGGCCAATTTATGTAAAAAGCTGCCATCTGCTAATACTCCATGGTTATAACTTAGACATATTTATTATGTGGTTCTAGAAACAATCTACCATAATGGTTAGGGGTTTTAATGTAAAAAATGTACATAAAGAAACACATAACAATTTCTACATTAGATCAAATATCATCAATGAACGCAAATCATCTAAGCAAATATACAACCATAACGTTATCTACAAAAGTTTTTTACTACATTATAATTTAAAATAACTATATCAAAGCAATGTTTTAAAATGCGTGCAGAAGTTATTATTTGCTATGAACACGGATAAGGCAACTGTATCACATATTTATATTTACTGCATAATGATATATATAAATATATAAAATAACATGCCATTTCTTTTTTCATTTTTTTATATTTAATAGTTTTATTTTCATAATGAAGACGGAACAATGGCAAAGAAGTGGCTATGAATTTAAAAAGTTGAATACAATTATTATGACTGTATATACTATGAATATGAGTGTATTCTGTAATGTGCACCAAAATCATTCCTAGTATTTTCACCTTTTATAACAAATGTTAATATGTGTTTTGAATACTCCTGATCTAATGTATACATTAGCAAGCACCTATCAATATCTATAAAGATATATGAAATGTTTACAATTTTTTTTAAAAAAACAAAAAGGTGGTTTAGCATATTCATGTGCATGTGTGTATAAATATCTAAATAAATAAATAAAATATTTTAAAAGGCCTACCTTGATCCTGCACATAGTATGCCAGAAACAAATCAAGCTCCTTGACTGATACTGTTATGTGATGTGGCTGAACGCAAAGTGCTGGATTTGTGCAATGGGGGGATTTCATGAGCCGTTCTCCATCGGTACTTTCCAGGGGGATACCTTTAAAAAGGATCACCATGACTAGATCCAGGCGCCAGACTTTGTCTGCTTGCCTAAGGCAATCGATTCTCCTAATCTTGCCCTTCTGGTCAGGATTGGATAATACACAGCATGGGTGCTTCTTCCCAGTAACAGTAAGCACAAAATCCTCTCGATATTCTTGGCGGATATCTTTGCGCAATTTGGCGAGAAGCCTGGATGCCCACTTCTGTTTAATTTCTGGCTTTTCACTAAGTAACTCATCCTTAACTGCTCTTTCTTCATCTTTTGACATTCGCTTTTCGTGTTTTTTAAAGTACTTGCGTTTTCGAGCCTGAAGGTTGAACCACGTATAGGCAATTGCACGGACATGTGGAAGAAGTGCCTCAATGAATGGGTGAAATTCATCCTGTTGGAAGAAATATAAAAGAAAAACAAAACTTGAGGGACCAGTTTTAGTTATACAATCACGAACAATTATTTTTTGAAAAAAAAATGAGTAAAATGCAAACTTATGCCATGGGCATTCCTAAGCATTTTTAGCAGCGCTTACAATTCCTAGAAAAGATACATACATATTATAAAAATGTATGTCTATATTTCACTTATGGAAGCACAATAACATTTTATAATACACCAAATACTTGGGCTTGGTTCCAAACTGACATACAATTATATTAGTTTAAAATAAAACAAAATGGCTCTGAGATTTTGAATATTTTGACTGTGATTTAATAGTTCACCAAACACAATAAAGATTGGCACAACAAATTTTAAGACGAATGAGTAAAAATATTACAAATGTAGAAGTTAATATTTCAAATCATTCACCTTCTGTATTCAGAAACATTATGGTATACATTTTCAATGTTGTACTATGTAGTTTCCACTTTTGTCACCAGCAAGAGACTGACACACACAAACACCATGAAATATAACCCAATCCCTTATCAGTCATCCAACATTCCAATTATCACATTATTATTCTAGCAGGAATAACCACAGAAATCAAGAAATAAGGCAAGAAAGGCCAAAGGAAAGATACCATTCTAATAAAATAAGAGTACTTATAACGTTCACCAGCTGGCCATGTTTCCTGCTTAACTTTACCAATCTTTTAAAAAAATACTGAAAATTACATGGAATTGATTTGTTCCATTCCACTGTAGGGTACAAAACCTCACTGAATTAATTAGCTATTAACTCAAGGATGGTTATCAAGTATGTAATAATTATTTGACCCCACTCAAAAAAAAAAAAACTTTTTAAGTACACAAAGAAAAAAGGATAATTTGAAACAAACTTTGCCTTCTTTGTGATCTAACACTCTGTAGCAGTGACATTAATACTGCATTATTGCGTAAACTTATTTTCTGAAATACGCGCAAAAGTATTGGACATGAAAACTTTTCCTTTTATAAGTTTTACCTAACTAGAAAAAAGATTTTCTATATTTTATTATTTTTTCAATTGACTAAATTAAACTTTAGCAATTACTTTATTTTGATCAATAAAAACTACACTAAAGTGTTTTGCCTCAATTTCCGTCTTTGTCACATACAGTATATAATTTACTTCAAAGGAAAATTATCTCTATAATCCTGGCACCTATCATAAGATTTGAAAGAAAATTATGACAAAAGGGCAATGTTACTCATTCATTTGTTTGATCTATTATTTTTTTAGACCATATTTAATTCAAACTGAATTAAAATCGTAATACTGTAAAATATTGACCCTAAAACTAGTCCTGATATAATTAAATTGTACTTTTCAAACAAAATGTAGCCTATGTATTAATACTAAAATACTTAATTGGGAAAAAAAGTCATTAATTTTAAGAATCCTATTAAAAGTACATATTTGAGATTGAGAACATAAAATGTATTTATTCAATTCAAAATTCCTGTAGAGTTTTATCAAACAGTTCATACAATACTCAACAGAAGTTCATGCAAACATTCACACTGAATTACTGAAATCTTCTTTAAACTTAATCCTGCCTTTTTTATAGGTAATATTATAGGTAATAGCAGCAAGATTTTATAATAACACTTTATAGTAAGACTTCTCAACAAGTACTGTAAGACCTGCAATGTTATTTCAATTTTGGTTTTATATATACCTCTTTCCTTTTCAGGACAGATATTAATCAAACTAGAATAGAAATACAAGGCATAAAAATAATTATAATACAATTAAAACAAGGTATCAAGCAATTACTAAAGCGATAAGCCATTCTGTATAGAGACTTTTAAGTTTCCTGTTACTTTAAGGGCACAAACTACATTAAAGAAAGAGTTAAACCACAATCTGCTCTTTGTGTGGGAAGAGAGCACAGCTTAGAGCAACCACAGCCCTCGATAAGACTTCCCTATCTCAGTGCATTCTGGTGCCATTTTTTTACTGCTACAGTTTCTTTTTCTCAGAAAACTGAGAATTCTTAGTAAAAGATGTATTTTAATAAGACAAACTTCCTTCATTACTTCTAACTTATATAAGAAAATATTAAAAAGCCTAGGAATTGAATGATTAGAAACTAGGTCCAGTATTGTATAAAAATTATTTCACAATATATATACCCCCATAAATTGCAATCAAAGATCCTGTGATATTGACAATTCAGATCTTGGTACTGGACATTTTGACAAAAAACTATGAAGTTTTGGATTTTAATTTTACTTTAATCACATTTAGGCAAGTATGGACCCACCTGAATGCAACAGGATAAATGCATGGTCTCTGTGATTACTATTGCTACTTTATGTTTTTAAAATTATGCACACTGGTTACAAATTCCAATTTTACATATAAAGTTTCCAGAATATATTTACTGCTATAAAAATGGAGCTATAAAACTCCAGGTTATCCGATAAAAAAATACATTCATGTTTTTAAAACTTCTACATTAAATAACAGATAGTGGAATAAAATTCATATTTAAGTAAAATTACAGTCACTGATATCTCAATTATTGTTAACAATCCAAAACATTGTTCAACTAAGAACCGTTTCTCAAGTAAAACTTATGTTACATAGATTCTCTTCAAAAATGCACTCACTATGAAATCTGATATTTTGAAAGATGCACAATGTAAGAAAAAAGTTGTATATGGCCATTGCATAGACTGCAGTAAAAACAAAGAACAAGCTTTGTAACAGTTAAATCAAGCTTCTTGGTTATTTTAAACCACAATACTGATAGATCTACAATCAGGGTCAATTTCCACAAAATCTTTATGTTATTTCCCTTCCCCTATAAAAAAAAATGTTTTTTCGAGGAAAAAAAATGATTTCCCATTTCTATCTTATCTTCCTATTAGTTTGTTATATGAATTCAGAAAATTATTCCACAAAATAAAGTTAACATTGCAAAGATATAGCCAAAGGTACACATACTTATGTGTAATATTCAATTTAGCAACTCTAGCTTAGATATAAAATACTGTAAATCTGTGTTTACTGCTGGACTACTTCTAAAAAAAAGACTCCTCAGCTGTGAATACTAACAAACATAGGGAACTATTCATGGACCTAAAAACTAACTTCATATTAATCACACAAAAGGAGGAATGTGTTCAGATAATCCTCTGTTTTATTTAACCAGGTTAGGTTTCCAAGATATAAAAATGCCTATTGACAACTCATTTATTCTTATATCTTACGGATTTCAATGCAACTTAATTTGACTCCAAGGTAACCACAACCATATAATAAAGTAACCGCTCCCAACAAACATCCAGCTACTATTTTTATATAGGTTCTTTTTAAAAAGAGATTTATCAAATGCATATTCTATACAGTTTTTAGCCAATCAAATATTTCTTTTCCTCTTCTTTCTATGATTTCTAACAACAAATATATTATAAAATTGTACAATATTATATTCCCCATAAACCTGCTGTACAAACATGGGACAAAGGGTATGTATTCAAAACTCGAGGGGGGAGGTCTGGATTTTGTCCCAACTGTTCTTATATCTATTCATTCTTCAAGTCTGTGAATTATAAATTCACAAACTAAATGCAAAACCAGCTTAGAAATTGTTTGGGAAAAAACAGTATACATTTCATTTCAAAACTACTGGGCATTTTGTTGAAATACTTGACTTATCTTAAATTGGTCGACACTAGGTTTGCCGTAAAACTGTTTCAGACGTGTAGATGGCATGCAAACCACGCCTAAATAATTTATTTTGTTTTGGAAAAGACAAAGTGACATTTAATACTATGCTTATGGTAAATAAGCAAGTGATAAAACTTACTTAATAAGCCAAGGAAAATTTTAATACTTTCCTGTAATAAGTTCAGGCACAAATACCTTATTCTAAAACACTTCTGTGAACTGAGGCATTAGGCCAGAAACAAGAATGGATTATATTTTATGTTACAATCAAAGCATATTACATTAAAAACTTAAGCTAAATTTTCATCAACACCTACTATCACCACAGAAATTCAAATATATAATCCTAGACCACTAACCATGGATTTTCAAGGGAATCCTATGAAACTAACAAATATTTTTATGTGGCTGATAGAAGCCCCCTTAAATATTAAATATTATACACAAAGGGAAAACAGTATGTTGAATTTTACAATGTTCATGCCTCTACCAATTTATCCAGACACATAAAACGTGTATGTGCGCACACATGTGTAAGTGCTGACTTTTTATAATTTCTCAAATACCTCAGAACACTTTTTACACCTGTTTTGCATCTTTAAAGTTCCCATTTACTTGCTAAAAAGATTCCAAAGTTAATCACACTTTGATGCCAAACAAAATATAAACAATAAAAATGTGTCAGCCAAAAAGCTACAGGACTGTATCCAATCACTGAATAATCCTTATCATTGTTTAAATCTTCATTCATAATTTGTGAATGCTGCAGTCCAATAGAATTACAATGGTTTCCAATTGTCAAAGGAAAGTTTTATTATTTTGATCATACCAACCAAAATATTACATAACAAAGACCTACTCTGCACAAATATTAGCTATATCAGTATACATTTAACCTGTCCAAATTAGCCTAAAATTTCAACCAGACCTGATTGTTTGACATGCTACCTGGAATATTTAATGGATGAAAAATGGTACAAATGTCACATTCTTTAGACACTGAACATCTCAAAGGCATTTTTTGTGCTATAATTTATATTGGATCCAACTCTGTGCTCCATTTTTTTCCCTTTTGAAACTTCTATGCCACCAATCTTTACTCCAATCACATCATGCGTTGCAATTCTAACTATCTTATGGGAATGGAAACTGTTACCTGTTAAATAACGTACAGTTTGTCTCCATGTTCTTCAAAGTAAAATCATGTATGTGCAGTGTACAAAATTAATTACTCAGTTTTAAAAGGACACAAGTGTCTGCAGGCCTAATACAGCAGGAAAGGTTCCGTTTTCCTTATGACCTTGGGTGTTGACTTCAAAAAGTTTCAAGTACCGGAATTTATCAAGAAAAAATGTATAGGATAATCAAGAAAGAAAACCTTCAGCTAAGTCACCTTTTCTCAAACCAGCCTCAAGTATATATGATTAATTCAGCATGGGATGGTATTATATTACCAGTCATTGCTTAATTAAAAATAAAGGAACACTTTCCTTTTTCAGGTTAAGTATAGTCTGCAAAACGCATCGTTATTTTGTTGCGAATTCATGTAAAACTACACGACGTGGCTGCTAGTTCTGATCACTTTTTTTTCCTGCAAGAGTAATTTAATAATACTCGTTTATCATTGACATTTCGAAATATTTATATTATTTCGTCCCTGCCCCCCCCCACATACACACACCTTGAAATAGGCTTATACCACAAGTACATACATTTTTAGTTCCCCCCCCCCATAAAAATCAAGGACGGAATGAATATTCCTTTGAACAGTTCTAACTATAGGTACTCGGTGCAATTCGATACAAGTTTACTATCCCCCCCTTAAAAAAATAATAAAGGAAAAGAAAAAAGGCGCTTATACCTGAGTGAGACAGATGGGAGAATACATCATGACTTCGCTCTGAGATAGCACTTCTGCTGAGAGGAAAAGTATCAAAAGCGCAACGGCTTCATCTATTCATTTTACAATCATCTAACGCTTCCAAAAAGGAAAAGATGGATCAGGAACAAGCTCTGCTTTGAATCGCCACAACTTCGCAGCCAGCTCTAGTCCTCCTTAAATAGCCAAAGATTCAAGTTCACTCCGAGCACTAGATTTCCCGGGGTGAAATCCAATCTACACTTTTAACCCTCTTGTTCTCGGCGGCGGTTCACTCTTGCTGCTGTTTGCAGTGGCTGCTGGTGAATTGGGACAGAAGGAGGCGGAATGGGGGTGGGGGTTGAATGGAATGCAGGGAGTTAAGGGGGGGTTCGGGATATTTTTTTTTTTTTCCTTCCTCGCGTTGCTTTTTTTCCTTTCTCCCGGATTTCCAAGTGCTTTGGAAAAGCAGCTAGCGCGATACACCACGGTACTATCAACCACGTTGCCAAAGTTCAAGGTTGCAGCGGCGGAGCAGGAAAATCCTGGCGTATCCTGGCAGGCGAAACTTTGCAACAGCCCTGTGCAGTAGAGCGCCAACCCGGGAGTGTGTGCGCGCGCGTCCCCCAAGGCTGCAAAAACAGCTCGCAGCAGCGCGCAAACGCTGGGCTTCTTTCGCAGCAGCAGCAGCCTGTGCCTCTCTCTCTCTCTCTCTCTCTCCACCCCCTTTCTCTGTGGATAATGTTCAGAGCCTGCTTTTCAAACGCCCACTGTAATAAAAATGATCTCTTGAAAATTCAAAACGATCAATCTCTAGTTTCCTCCCCTCCTCCTCCTCCTCCTCCCCCCTTACACTCTTTCCCCTTTCTTCGGCGTACTGGTTTCTGCAAGACCTGGAAGTTCAGCAGAGGGGGAGGGTATTTTACCGAGAGCGCCTTTCTCTGGCCCTTCCTTCGTTGTAGCTTTCTCCCCAAACACTTCAGGATTTCGGTTTATTATTTAATTACACAATCGACGCATACATCCCTCCCCCCCCCGTTGCTGCTGCTGCAAATGCATTCCTTCCCTCTTCCGAGCCCCCTCCTTTCCCCTCTCCCTGTCTTTCCTCTTTAATCACCGCTGCACAGTACTAGAGCTTGGCCACACATTTTTCAAACGCGCCTGCTTTTGCACACACTCTCACTTTCCTTCCCCTTCCAGAGGGGACTGAAAAGCGGGCCCGTTTGGGGGAACTGGGAAGCGCTTTCGTAGTTCAAGTTCTGGAAGAGCGAGAAGAACGCAGCAATACCGCCCGGTGGAAAATTCCTTCACAGGAGGGGGGGGGACAAAGAAACCCCAACCCGGTCTCTCTGCAGACCCTGAATCTCGCCGATCGCGGGGAGGGGGCTACAAAGCGGGAAACTTTGCCTCTTCGCTACCAAATAGACAACAGGAATGGGGGTGGGGGGAGGAAATGTGCGTTGGCGACTCTTCCTCTGCATACGTTTGCAGCATAGACAGCGTCTGGAAACCCGCGACCCCGTCGCCTACATGTGGAGCAAGGTCACCCAACTGAAGACTCGCTCAGATTTCCTCCTCACTCCACGCTGAAAAGTGAAAGCCAGCCTGCTCTTTGCAGACCCCGTGGTGGAAAGGCGCCATGCTCGCAGGGAACCCCTTCCACGTGGCTTCCATCCCCGCCCGAGACGTTCAGTTCTGCCCCGTTATCTGATTTGTGGGGTCCGTTTCGGGCAGCCTTTTCCATCAGGGTGCGAGAAGGAAATGGGTGGCGGCCCCCCTGAAGGAAGCAAAAACCAAGAAAGCCCGCTGCTGGAGCAATAAGCTCGTCTGCTTTCAATCTCACCCACTAGCTCGTGCCAAGAAGTTCGTGCCCGCGGGTTTTTTGTTTTTCCAAGAATGCAGCATATTAAAACACACGCGCACTCACTAACGACGTTCTCACACTCGCCCTAGGGCGGCAAAAGTCAGTTTGAAGAACATTCTACTTTTCCCCTTGGCGCCCGTGTGTATGCTTGCGAGGGGTGCGCTACCATTGATGAAGTTAACTAAAAGTGGATTCGAGACTAGGAAAAGTTACCATTTTGGACGCCAAGGTCCGAAATTGCTCCGGTCTCTGCTTTAACTTTGCTTCGTCAGACAGTCAAGTCTCCCGCGCTTCGAAGAGCTAAGTGGCCACAAGAAAGACAAACGGACGGAAAGCCAAGTCCAGGAGTAAAGCATGACCAGGGTGCCCACTGGCCTTTGATTTTCAACTGCACTACATTACATCTTCCTAAGGCCTTACGGGCTTAGGAAAAACAATCCAAGTTTTTCTTCACCGCCTTGACACCTGCGGACTTTGACCCGAGGAACGCCCAGGCAAAACAAACCCGAGCTTTTCCATCGAAGCCCTTGTAGACGAACGGCTTCGAGGCCACCAGCCCAAAGGCATTGTGTAACACTTCCGTCTCACCCCCGCCCCGCCTGGCCATGAGAAACCGCCCCAAGCATGAGGGAAGGCGATTGCCCAAGCCAAGCTCCCTCAGCAACCAGCACTTGCCTGCCTCAGGTAAACTGGTCCCTGGCGCGTCCTCCTTCAGCCCCTTTTCCCTCCCCATCGTGTGAACTATCAGCGGGCTTTCTTGGGCCAGCTGACTTTCGCGTTTGCAAAAGTACATTTCTCCGGGTCAGGCATTTCACCACGAAACATCGACGGGAGGCAGGTTCAAGTCAACCATGAAATGGTCACTTTTTAACCCCGTCCTGTCCTCATTAGGGAAATATTCGAACACAGCCCGTTCTCAAAGGGGGCTCTTAATGAGGGTGACTTGCCAAAGCAACCAGCTGCAATTCTCATAAATTTACAAACTGACGGCCGGGAGAGGAAGTGAAGGGGGCTCAGACAAAGCAGGTAAATGTCAAAGCAAGCAACGAAGTTCAACCTATTAAGCCTTCAAAAGCAGCCCACCTTTAATGTAGGTGCAATTCTAAAGCTGAGGGGGGGAATAGATAAATTCTTTCATTAAAAAATGGCATTAGGAACAAAACTCTAAAATACCATAGTACAAGACAGTAGCAAATTTATCACAGAATTTACCATATACAATTTTCAAAATCACATTAAAAATGCCATGAGCCTAGTTTCTTTATGGCCTTCGTATACTCATTGTATTTTCACTAAATTTCTTTGTTCAAAATTCTTTATTTCAATTGTTTTGACACTTGCACAAGGCATCTTGCAATAAGGCATTGTTTATTTAGCAGTGGAGTATTTTTAGGAAAAGAAAACCACATTTAGCTTGGTTTGGACAGCACACATAACCATGAGTAGCTGGATTCATACAACACAATAAGGCAAGATCAAATGAATTGCATTGTGGCTGAGTTTACATAATCCATGTTAAGCCATAGTTTGGTTAGATTGGTTTGGGCTCAGCATAGTAGGAGTGTTCAACCATGTAATGCAAACCATACTGGTTTATTACTATAAATTATGCCTGAGTAGTTGAAACCTACAAATTATGGGTTACTGAATAAACCATGGTTAAGCAAGCCACTGCTTATAAACTCAGTGAAACCTGAGATTACAAGGGCTAATACTATATATATATAAAGTTATGCAATGGATTTTTTTAAAAGACACAAATCTGCAGTTTTAATAAACTGCATTTAATCTGCTGAATCACAATAATTGCAATAGATACATTTTAAATGAAAACATGAGAATAGATAAGATACATTTTTCCCATGCATTCATGGCATTTCAACCCTTCTTATTTTTCTTTGGAAATGTAGTCAACTAATTTCAGATTTATTTCAAGTTAAATATATTTGTAATCCCTAAATGTGACTGTTGCCCAAAATATAATTTCTATTACTGCATGAAGTTTTGCTGATATCTTTCAAGCAGTAGGTCTTCATTTCCCATCTTTAATTCAGGGATAATGCTGTGAAGTTATCATAAAAGCTTACAACAGTGTGTGTGTGTGATGAGCTTGAAAAAATCTGAGTGTTGAAGTATTATGCACATGTTAGTTCAAGTCTTGATATTAAAAGTCTCTACATATTTCTCATTTGAGACTTTCCTAAAATCAAAGAACAGCAAGACCTTTCAGGCTTGTCACAGATTCAAGCCACGTTCCCCAGTATTCACACTAATGACCCAGATTTTTATGCATGTCTACCAATAGATCATCTTTTCAGACATTCACATTTAATATTGTTAGTAATAATAAATATAACAATAGTCATGTTTACTAAGTTATATTTTATTGAATTAGTCAAGTTCTCTGGACTTGTACAATACACTGAATAGTAAATTAATTGCATTGACTAGTTTTACATAACACACTGCCATAATATGAACTAAAAATGATCAGTTTGTCACAATTGGGTCTACATTCATGTAGCCTTTTAGATCAGGCATGTTCAACCTGCAGCCCACAGCCACATGCGGCCCTAGACAGCTAGTAACGCAGCCCTACAAAATAATAAATATAAAAAAGGAAGTTTCTTATATATATATATATATATATATATATATATATATATATATATATATATATATGTGTGTGTGTGTGTTTTCTGAGGTTTTCGCAGGTGTTTGTATGTAGGTCTTTGGTTATTCGGATTTTCTCCCATGTCAAATTGGAAGTGTCTTGGCGACGTTTCGACGAAGTCTCATTCGTCATCTTCAGGCTGGTGCTTTCGGCTTCATGCTCCTAGAAGCACGAAGCCGAAAGCACCAGCCTGAAGATGACGAATGAGATTTCGTCAAAACGTCGCCAAGACACTTCCAATTTGACATGGGAGAAAAACCGAATAACCAAAGCACGAAGCCGAAAGCACCAGCCTGAAGATGACAAATGAGACTTTGTCAAAACGTCGCCAAGACACTTCCAATTTGACGCGGGAGAAAACCCGAATAACCAAAGACCTACATATATATATATTAATATATAATATATAATATATATGTCCGAAGACAATTCCTCTTTGCTCAGTGTGGTCCAGGCAAGCCAAACAGTTGGATGTCTATGCTTTAGATGCAATTTGTTCAACTCATCTTACTCTGTGACAAAATATGACTTTTTTTTTCTATTATCACTTCAAAAATAAACTGGCCAGCAGTCATGTTCTGTCCTCATTTGCAGCTTAACAGAGGACCACCAGGCCCTTACAAACCTGGCCTCCCCTTGGCCCTATGATATTATCCTTACTCTGCCTCCAAACATGAATGAAACAACCTTAGGTCATAATTGCTTTATTCCTACTTTTACTGATGTTAAGCCACCTAGGTTCACTTTATAAGGTAGCTGGTTCTGTAACTTTTTAAAATTACTAAATAAATAAGGGCATTAGTTTAAAGTTATATCTTCTCTCTTCAACTCATATTATTCCACTATGCATTATCTTAGAAAAAGGTCAGGTGAGCTATTTTGGGCTTAACTAGAGTAGTACTTTGTTTCCTAAGTGCTTGTCATCTGTCCCCGTCCTTATTTTTGATACCAGCGTCTCTCCAAAGTTCCAACAAATTGTTCAGTAGTGACTCAGAACAGATGCAGTAAAGTCGGGATAGGGATTAATAATGGGAACAAGCAGATGTTCTCCTGGCATTCTTTTATGCTGAGTCAAGGGTGATGAGATAGCTATCCAGTCCAGGCACATTTCAGCTTTGATAATGGTCAGATCATTTTTCTCATCTGAGAAAAGAAGGTTAACTTACAGAGCGAACCATTCTGAATGTACCATTCTGTCTTCCAAGACAGGGCTGGGCAATCTTCAGATCTTGAAACCTTTCTTTTTTTGTTCTTTCAGATCTTTATTATTCAAAAATGAAAGTGGAGTTTCTGACTATTTGAAACAGAAAAAATAATGAAAACTCTCGTCATAGGAAGCAAGCCAGAACCAAACAAACCACATTATAAAATAAGCCAGTAAGGAGCACAATGGCTTGCGTGGTTAGAT